GAATAGGCTAGTTGATAACGTACAATGTTACAAGTTCACTAGAGACAGCTTCCAGCTAGATCCAGTTGAATGATTTGATACAATGTTGCACTTCACTAATGATCGCTCAAGTCAAGACATATAGAAAGGGAGGCAGACAGGCTGAATAGAGAGATGAATGTGATTGAAAGAACCAGAATTTATCAGTATACATTTACATTTTAGTCATTTAGCAGACGCTCTTATCCAGAGCGACTTACATTTTTCACACAGTTGAAGTCGTGCATACAGTTGAAGTTTACATACACCTTAGCCAAATACATTTAAACTCAGTTATTCACAATTCCTGACATTTAATCCTAGTAAAAATGCCCTGTTTTAGGTAAGTTAGGATCACCACTTTATTTTAAGAATGTGAAATGTCAGAATAATAGTATAGAGAATGATTTATTTAAGCTTTTATTTCTTTCATCACATTCCCAGTGGGTCAGAAGTTTACATACACTCAATTAGTATTTGGTAGCATTGCCTTTAAATTGTTTAACTTGGGTCAAACGTTCCAGGTAGCCTTCCTTTCAGGTTATGTCGATATAGGACTCGTTTTACTGTGGATATAGATACGTTTGTACCTGTTTCCTCCAGCATCTTCACAAGGTCCTTTGCTGTTGTTCTGGGATTGATTTGCACGTTTCGCACCAAAGTACGTTCATCTCTAGGAGACAGAACGCGTCTCCTTCCTGAGCGGTATGACGGCTGCGTGGTCCCATGGTGTTTATACTTGCGTACTATTGTTTGTACAGATCAATGTGGTACCTTCAGGCGTTTGGAAATTGCTCCCAAGGATGAACCAGACTTGTGGAGGTCTACACATTTTTTTCTGAGGTTTTGGCTGATTTCTTTTGATTTTCCCATGATGTCAAGCAAAGAGGCACTGAGTTTGAAGGTCGGCCTTGAAATACATCCACAGGTACACCTCCAATTGACTCAAATGTCAATTAGCCTATCAGAAGCTTCTAAAGCCATGACATCATTTTCTGGAATTTTCCAAGCTGTTTAAAGGCACAGTCAACTTAGTGTATGTAAACTTCTGACCCACTGGAATTGTGATACAGTGAATTATAAGTGAAATAATCTGTCTGTAAACAATTGTTGGAAAAATTACTTGTGTCATTCACAAAGTAGATGTCCTAACCGACTTGCTAAAGCTATAGTTTGTTAACAAGAAATGTGTGGAGTGGTTGAAAAACGAGTTTTAATGGACTCCAACCTAAGTGTATGTAAACTTCCAACTTCAACTGTATTTTCTACTGTTTTTATTTGTCGGCTTTATTTTTATTTAGTTGACAATGGAAGTTATTGGCCACCGGCTGCATTGGCCATCTCTGAGTTCCATGCGCTCATTTAGGCTATTTAGCCGCCAAGGATCACGGTGTATCAATGTGTCCATATGGCAGAGGCTGGTGCTCTTGCATTAGTTTAATTTTATATTTGTATCATTTGAATTACCAAGTGACAATGATTTTGATAAATGAAAACATTATTATTGAAATGAAACTGTTCCACGAAAATGTGAATATGAAAATCATAACTGGCACGCAGATCGGTAGAAATGGTAGGATAAATTGTTTGTTTCCCCAAACTTGAAACTCATGACCCGCCTATAATGTTTTTATAAAATAATTGCCTCCACGTTTCTATGGTCAGATTTACAAGCAAGGTAAGGCATGCCTCAAAATATGAAGTAAAACATTCAGGTTTCAAACAATTATGTATGTTTTCAAAATGCATAATGTCTCCAGTTCACATTGCAAAGTGATGGGTGAGACGCTGATAGCCTACAGTTTTTTTTTTTTTCACGGTCAATTTGGCAGGTAACAATTGCATTTACCGGCTTTTCATTTATGATTATTTTGGCCAAAAGCCGGCAATTACCAGCTAACGGAAACCATGGTGTGTGTGTGCAAGCTTGCCTGTGTGCATACTCTATAAAGTGGGCGTGTGCAATAACTCAATTCGCCCTTGCACTTCTTCTAAACAACGCCATTTTTTCAAACTTTGGCAAAGGGTACAAACACTGTCAAATAACCTGAACCCTGCTAGCTAGCATATTGGATGACTGTCATTCGTATTCCATTCACCCAGCTCAATGTAACATTGATAGGTTTAAGCTACTACATGATACTTCCCATACATTTTCCCTATACCATCACAAGGTTGCTACAACCTAGCCTATGAATTAAAGTTTACAACGTAGGTGCACAGGTCGAGAGAAATTTTAGTAATCAAGATGACAGACATTGAAACATTCAATACCGCCTTGCACCGCCTGCATCTAGCTGATCTAGGGTGTAATCATTAGTCCAACAGTTGCAAACGAGAGTTTCTATTGGTTACATTCAGTTATGTTTATCCCCGTTTCATTCAGTTTGCTTCCGTTTAAGAAAGTTTTTTTTGAATACACACCTGATCACACGCAAACACAGTTCACTTTCATAGCAGCCACATACAAACAGCATGATCCCTTTGATCGTAATATTCCTTCTCGCATCTATGTGCTCTCTTCCTCTCACCTTTTCCCTTCGCTTGTGTACTTCAGTGCACAACACATCAGCTTTCTGTGACCAGGCGCAAATCCTTTCCAAGCCATACCTTCATATCATAACCGCTACACACAGCCTACATCCTTGTCACCATATTAAAATCATATTCAAAATAGCTACTAGACCTAATGCGTTAGTAAACCCGCTATAAACATTCAGTAGAGTGTACAGTCAGCAGCAAGCAGTTTAGCAGTTACACCGGCGGGCCCCGGTGGCAATAAATTAATCAAACCAAAAACTTACCTTGGAAGAGTTCCAGTGTTGGATAGCCAGCTAGCCAACATAGTATCCCTCTCTGTTTGAGCTGGGTGTTTGAGTAGGCTAAACTAGCTAGCTGCATCTGCTAGCTGTGAAAGTGAAAAAAATACAACAAAATATACCTCTCCCTCTCTCGCGTCTCCTTCATTTTTCAAGATATGAATTTGTTAAACTGTTCAACTATTGTCTTTCTCTCTTTGAGTCAATTACTCACCACATGTTATGCACTGCAGTGCTAGCTAGCTGTAGCTTATGCTTTCAGTACTAGATTAATTCTCTTTGATTGGGTGGATAACAACATGTCAGTTCATGCTGCAAGAACTCTGATAGGTTGGAGGACGTCGTCCGGAAGTTGTCATAATTACTGTGGAAGTCTGTGGAAGGGGGTGAGAACCACAAGCCTCCTAGGTTCTGTATTGAAGTCAATGTGCCCAGAGGAGGACGGAAACTAGCTGTCCTCCAGCTTCACCATGGTGCTACCCTACAAATTGGTGTTGAGGCTACTGTAGATCTTCATTGCAAAACAGTGTATTTTAATCAATTATTTGGTGACATGAATATATTTAGTATAGTTTCACTAGTTTTATAAAATTCCCTTCCTCCTCTGAGGAGCCTCCACTGGTGTGCACCTGTCACTTGCGCCCCTTCCCCCACCTCTCGGTCCTCTCCCCGCTGCTGCAGCAGCGAGTGAGGTGAATTTATTAAATTGGTTCCTTGTTATTAAATGACACCACAGCTCGCCAAGGCATAAATAATAATAACAAACATTCTAAAAATGTTATCTACTTTACTGTGTTTCTTCTGTGCGGTTTAATTATTTGTATTTTATTATTTTTTATTAATCAGTTCCTTTTTGTTCTCCTTCACGATTTAGTTTGCTTTGGAGAATTGATCATGGCATGAGAGACTGAGGGACAGCATAAGCGTAAAAAATAATGTAAAAAATGTTTTTAAAGCGAATGCGCAAATTAACATGATGTCACTACTACGTTGTGACGTCATCTAGCGACTTCTAGCGACAAATGGAGCATCCAACAGCTACTTTCCTTGATAATAGTTGGCAACACTGTGGAGACGACCTGATTCACTGAACTTCTCCTCAAAGAGGTCGTATTTATTTTGGGAGATCGCAAAATTCAACTTCTACATTCAAGACAGGAGAAACACATTGATTCAGAAGATAAAACACGTTTCTTTTAGTTACTATTTTCTCCACTTGTTTCTATTACTTTCTAGCACGTCAAGCTAACTTACATAGTAGGTAGCTAGCTAGCTTTGTAGCCATGGATTGTGCACATTCCATTGTTCAGCTAAGTAGCTAGCTTCACACCTAGCTAGCTGGAACCAGGGCAAATGCTGTTTACGTTGATATCCATAATGTATTAAGCACTTAATGGACCTCATAGGCATCCTTAACTTTTTCACTTAATTTAAGGGGGAAATCGCCTTAAAATGTTTTGTGCAACTGACTTAAAGTTAAGTAAACTTTAAATAAAAATATATGGGGAAAATTAACTTAAGATGTTTTATGCAACCGGGCCCTGAGCTCTACACCTAAAACAGTGAGATACCCAAAACTAGACTATTTGAATGGTTTTACAGCAGAGCACAAAAAAACATAATTTGTCCTGTATTCAAGTCACTTGCATTGCTAAAGGTCTGTATTTAAGTGAACATGATGTATTTTTCTCTATGTTCAGGTGAGACAATGTGTTTTTGACCTGTTCGGGAACTCTGTGTGAAGGCGAAAACGACTGAGTCAGCTCATTTTGCACAAATCTGGGAAGCATGCCTACTTAACTCTCCAGCCGTGCACTTCCTGACGGAATTTGGACAGATGCTGCTGGCAGATAAAATTAGATTCTGCTGGCAACGGTATTGAAGGAAAGGGTGCGCCTCAATAAGACATGAATGATTAGGCTTGAACTTGAAGGACAGAGTAAAACAAACCCTCTATCACCCCCATGAGATGGGAAGTATAAACAGTTACACACCCCTCCAGACAGTGACGATTTTCCTTTGATGATGCGCTACACGCTGTGACGCTCCCAAATGAGATGATTCTCTTGCACCACCTACGACTCCATCTCAAGTCATCGTCTACCTATTCTTTACCAAATTCATTAAGTTATATTGATTTTGTGTTCAACTGTATTGTTACCTGTATTTGAGATCATGGACGTACGTACTACCAAGCAGGCTCTGGATGGTTCTCTTGGTCTCGTCCAGCAGGCTCTTGACAGCCGAGTCTCCCACGGCCAGCGTGACGATGCGCCTCGCAGGCAGCGACTGGAGCAGCTGCGTGAGCCGGCGGCTGTCGTTGCGTGACTCGTGCGTGTCGTAGCGCTCGCTGAACAGCACACTGGCCGTGTCCTGGTCCACCACACGCAGGTTGATGCCACGGCTAAAGTTGCGCTGGAAGGCATAGCCCCCCGTGGCTAGGCCAGAGGAGGGAACGCTGCGGGTCAGGAGGGTCCACGACAGCCTCTCCATCCCGTGAATCTCCAGGGTTGCACCTCCACGCACCCCGATGAACTTCCGTCCCAATTCCGGTACTTCAGCTACAGACTTCTCGTCCGAACGGCCCAGCAGGGCGATTGTGGCCTGGGAGCGGTAGCGGCATTTGGGGGCACCGATGTGCAGCGAACCCCCATCTTCAATCAGCACATGGCGCGTCCTGAGAGTGATGTTTTTGGAGCCCTCAGTATTGTCTGCAAAGACCACTCGGCCTGTGTGGAGACAAATATAAATTATAAAACATAAAAACAATCCGTTCTGCAGAGCCTATGTTCTTAATGTTACTTTATTGAGAAAGACATTATCCTCAACTTCATCTCGGAACCCAGTGCCAAATATTGCATGCTCTGACTATTTTGTTACGTTACAGCCTTATTCTAAAATTGATTAAATTATTTTTCTTCCTAGTCAATCTACACACAACACCCCATAATGACAAAGCGAAAACAGGTTGACACATTTTTGCAAATGTATTAAAAACAAAAAACAGAAATACCTTATTTACATAAGTACTTAGACCCTTTGCTATGAGACTCGAAATTGAGCTCAGGTGCATCCTGTTTCCATTGATCATCCTTGAGATGTTTCTACAACTTGATTGTAGTCCACCTGTGGTAAATTCAATTGATTGGACATGATTTGGAAAGGCACACACCTGTCTATATAAGGTCCCACAGTTGACAGTGCATGTCAGAGCAAAACCTATGCCATGAGGTTGAAGGAATTGTCCATAGAGCTCCGAGACAGGATTGTGTCGAGGATCAGCTCTGGGGAAGGGCACCAAAACATTTCTGCAGCATTGAAGGTCCCCAAGAACACAGTGGCCTCCATCATTCTTAAATGGAAGAAGTTTGGAACCACCAAGACTCTTCCTAGAGCTGGCCGCCCGGCCAAACTGAGAAATCTGGGGAGAAGGGCCTTGGTCAGGGAGGTGACCAAGAATCCGATGGTCACACTGACAGAGCTCCAGAGTTCCTCTGTGGAGATGGGAGAAACTTCCAGAAGGACAACCATCTCTGCAGCACTCCACCAAAGAGGCCTTTATGGTAGAGTGGCCAGACGGAAGCCACTCCTCAATAAAAGGCACATGACAGCCCACTTCGAGTTTGCCAAGAGGCACTTAAAGGACTCTCATACCATGAGAAACAACATTCTCTGGTCTGATGAAACCAAGATTGAACTCTTTGGCCTGAATGCCAAGTGTCACGTCTGGAGGAAACCTGGCACCATCCCTACAGTGAAGCATGGTGGTGGCAGCATCATCCTGTGGGGATGTGTTTTTCAGCGGCAGGGACTGGGAGACTAGTCAGGATCGAGGAAAAGATGAATGGAGCAAAGTACAGAGAGATCCTTGATGAAAACCTGCTCCAGAGCGCTCAGGACCTCAGACTGGGGCGAAGGTTCACCTTCCAACAGGACAACGACCCTAAGCACACAGCCAAGACAAAGCAGGAGTGGCTTCGGGACAAGTCTCTGAATGTCCTTGAGTGGCCCAGCCAGAACCCGATCGAACATCTCTGGAGAGACTTGAAAATAGCTGTGCAGCGACACTCCCCATCCAACCTGACAGAGCTTGAGAGGATCTGCAAAGAAGAATGGGAGAAACTCCCCAAATACAGGTGTGTCAAGCTTGTAGCATCCTAACCAAGAAGACTCAAGGCTGTAATCGCTGCTAAAGGTGATTCAACAAAGTACTGATTAAAGGGTCTGAATACTTATGTAAATGTGATATTTCAGTGTTTTATTTGTTATAAATTTGCAAAAAATTCTACAAACCAGTTTTTGCTTTGTCATTATGGGGTATTGTGTGTAGATTGATGAGGGGAAAAAAACTACTGAATCCATTTTAGAATAAAGCTGTAACGTAACAAAATGTGGAAAAAGTGAAGGGGTCTGAATACTTTCCGAATGCATTGTACTTCTGACCTAGCCGGAAACAGCAATCAGACCAGAGAGAGGACCTAACCTACCTCCTGATTGGATGGTTAGGGAGTATAAGGTGGCAGAAGAGTCCAATCGAAACAGATCTCCCCTCCGAACGACCATGGCCTTCTCTGGGTTGTGACCTGGGTTCCAGCTGCTCAGGGAGGAGCTGTGGTCTGGACAGTTCTCTGTACACACAGACAGGACCAATCAAAGACAACATCACTGACATAGCACATAGATAGAGCAAAACAGGGTATGATAGGTCATTGACTATAGTTCAGTCTATGATTCCTGTGGAGCAATGGGCCTAAGTACCTTAGCCAGGTCAGTATTAACAGCTCATGACACTCTCATACTCACAGACAAACACACACTCACCGTCCAACACGTCTCCACTGGTGAGGCTGAGGATGAGGATGAGCGAGAGGAAGAAGGCCCCCAGGGAGACACCGAAGCAGATTAAGGTATTCTTCCTCAGACTCTGAGCACGCTCTAGGCGCTGGCCTTCCTCTGATAGGCTAAAGGTCGCCCGGCGCTCAGGAGGCGTGCCAATGGGCTTCAGGGAGGGATGGGGTGGGGCCTTGGTCGGAGGTGGGGAGCGGACGGGTACGACCCTGCCGGGGACGAATCCTGCCGACCGGTGGATACCGTTGGACGGGGCCACAAAGACAGGGGAGTAACTGGGGCCATCGCTTATCTGCATGGTATCTGTCTGCTACCTACCTACAGACACACACACACACAGAGAGACAGAGAGAGAGAGAGAGAGAGACACAGAGAGACACAGACAGAGAGAGAAAGAGAGAGAGAGATATAAGAGGGGGGCAGGGAGAGAGAGGGAAGAGTGAAAGTGGAAAAATCATGAGATCTTAAACTCAGGGAAACAGGCAATGAGCCAGCAAGCCTTTACTGTTTTCCTCAGGTGGGGAGTTTAGCTGAAATGTATCATTAATCCGACCATCCAGGACAATCCCCTGGAATTGTTTGTTTAGAGGGAATGACCGTGGCTGCCCTTGTCCAGAGTAATGAAGGAGATGTTCAATGTATTTCTATATTCTGAAGCCCACGTTAAAAGAGAACAAAAGACGGCACCAATTTGAGTACTAGAGGAAAACGGGTCTGACTAGCCAATGATTTAATAGTTAGGCCTAAGCCTATGTCAGCAACAGTCCCATCATACATGAGCATCAAACTGTGTTCTTTCAATGAGATAAACATATTAACCATACATATGTGCTTCATACACATTCAATACATTCCTTTAATCAGAAATTCAAGTTATGAAAGGATTAAGTAACTGACTGGGTTAATCATACACCTCTGCAACAGAGTAGAGTGAAATAGAGTGAAATAGTAGAGTAGCATGAAGGATGTAGTGGTGGATTTTGGTCACATATCTATTTTAAACAGTACTTTACAGGTGGATACACACCTCTGTCTCCACTGACAGAAACACGTTGCATCCATACATGGAGTAACTTTTGAACAACATGGAGTGCGCAGTTTGGTAAAAAAAAAAAAAAGGCAATATAGTACCAAGCACCCACTTTTTAATATGCAATAATCATAACATTCTTCTGTTAAATATTCAGTCGCTTGGTCTGCATAGGCTACAGACAGTGGTGGAAAAAGTACCCAGTTGTCATACTTGAGTAAAAGTGACCTTAATACAAAATGACTCAAGTAAAAGTGAAAGTCACCCAGTAAAATACTTAAGTATCAAAAGTAAAAGTAGAAATCATTTCAAATTCCTTATATTAACCAAAACAGAAGGCACAATTTTCTTGTTATTTTTTATTTATTTACGGATACTCAACACTCAGACATTACTTACAAACAAAGCACCCCGCCACCCAAAAAAAAAAATATATATAGAATAATAATTATTGTAATAATAATAATAATAATAACAACAAAACAAAAATAGAATTTGTGTTTAGTGAGTCCGCCAGATCAGAGACAGTAGGGATAACCAGGGATTTTCTCTTGATAAATGCGTGAATTGGACTGTTTTCCTGTCCTGCTAAGAATCCTAAATGTAACCAGTACTTTTGGTTGTCATGGAAAATGTATGGAGTAAAAAGTACATTATTGTCTTTAGGAATGTAGTGAAGTAAAAGTAAAAGTAGTAAAAAATATAACGTTTTAAGTAGTACTTGAAAGTATTTTTACTTAAGTACTTTACACCACTGGCTACAGTGGGAAAATTCTATCATCATCACCCGGGGCTGATTGCGGTACCATCGGAACAATGTGAGGTCTCCTACCTTTCACGGGATTAATCTGTGATTTCACTGGCCATTCGCTCTCTTCCCAACAGCAAGCGTTGTCCCGACGCGTGGACTGACGGAACTAATAATTGGAAAAGTCAATAGTTTGCGTTCTGTGTCCTTTTTATACTTTTACATGGTGTTTTGCTTCGGGGCTGTAGACCGCCAGCGCCCTTCCTATGCGCGGCTTGGAGAGAGGAAGTGAGAAGGAAGGAGCGCACGGCCTCGTGGGAGGAGCTTGAGTTGACTTGCACTGCCGCCACCTGCTGTCGCACGAGGGGAGGACAGGGCATAGGCCAGGGAGTCGTTCTTCTTCTTCTTCGTGTGAATTTCCGGCAAGACTCTTTTTTTGCGTAATATAAACCCTGGATGACTGACAGGGGGCGCTGTATTGAAGCCACTGCACAGCCATCTTGGCACTCCTCCATTTAAATAAATATTTTGGAAGCTATATAAATGCATAACTAATATTAGTTTTTGAGAACTTTATTCTATTAAATTATTATTCTTAATGCATACTTTTAAATTATATTATGTGAGCTAAACAAAAATGAAAAAATATATTTTAAAACATTCCTTAAAGTATTTGTTTAGAGAGTACTAATGTTCCTGTCCCAACTACAACAACAAAAAATAAATGTAATTTTGTCCTTGAAACATTTAATTGAAATGCTGCATAATTTCATTCATTCCTATGGATGACTGCTCCTACTGGGGAGTGCCAATATGACCGACCAGTATCTCTAAAGCCTCTCAATGGCCAATACATAGCATCAGCAATCCAGGATTTATATGTGTCATTGATTGCTACCTTTTTCAGTTTGGAATGGGATTTCCACAACAAAAAAACAACAAAAAAGAAAGAAATGGGAATTAAAAAATGAATAATTGCACCATCCACTAACCCTGCACCTATTAAACCAAAACCCCCTCCTTATCCCACTACTTTTCCCTAACCATTCATACTCCTGGCCACCGGCCTGGGAGGATGGGTCTCGTTCTTTCAACACCTTCTGTAACTCTTCTGCAAAGGGTAACCCAGCCATGAGCTGCCCAGCTACGCAGAACTCCCAAACAAGCTAAATGTCCTTTATGCTCTCTCTGAGGAATATAACACTGTGCCTTGCGTGAAAGCCTCTGTTTTTCCGGATGACTGTATGATCTCGCTCTCCATGGCTGATGTGAGCAAAATGTTTAAATAGGTTAAGAATCACAAGGCCACCGGGCCAGACGGAATACCAGGGTGCGTTCTCAAAGCATGCGCAGACCAGCTGGCAGGTGTCTTCACAGACATTTTAAATCTCTCCTTGTCCCAGTCTGTAATCCCAACATGTTTCAAGCTGACCACCATTGTCACTGTTCCCAAGAGCTCCAAGGTAACCTGCCTAAATGACTATCACTGTGTAACACTCATCTGTAATTATGAAGCGCTTTGAAAGGCTGGTCATGACACACAACACCATACAGGAGGCTGCTGAGGGGAGAACGGCTCATAAAAATGGCTGGAACAGAGCAAATGGAATGGCATCAAACACCTGGAGACCATGTCTTTGATGTATTTGATACCATTCCACTAATTCCGCTCCAGTCATTACCACTAGCCCGCTCTGCCCAATTAAGGTGCCACCAACCTCCAGTGCAACACCATCATTCCGGACACCATATACCCACTCCAATTCACATACCGCCCCAACAGATCCAGAGATGACGCAATCTCAATTGCACTTCACACTGCCCTCTCCCACCTGACCAAGAGGGGAAATAACTACAGTATGTGAGAATGCTGTTCATAGACATACAGCTCAGTGTTCAACATCATAGTCCCCTCCAAGCTCATCACCAAGCTAGGGACCCTGGGACTGAACCCCTCCCTCTGCAACTGGATAGATCCTGGACTTCCTGACAGGTCGGCCCCAGGTGGTGAGGGTAGGCAACAACACCTATACCATGCTGACCCTCAACACGAGGTCCCCTCAGGGGTGTGTGCTTAGTCCTGTATACTCCCTGTTCACCCACAACTGCGTGGCCGCGCACGACTCCAACACCATCATCAAGTTTGCTGATGACACGACGGTGGTAGGCTTGATCACCGACAGCGATGAGTCAGCTTACAGGGAGGAGGTCAGAGACAGCAGTGTGGTGCCAGGCTAACAACCTCTCCCTCAACGTCAGTAAGACCAAGAAGCTGATTGTGGACTATAGGAGAAAGAGGGGTGAGCATGCCCCCATCCACATCGACGGGGCTATTGTGGAGCGGGTCGAGAGCTTTAAGTTCCTTGGCGTCCACATCACTAAGGCTGGGGTTAGGGTGTACACCGAGAGGAGAGACCTAGAGGGGATACCGGAAGGGGAGAAAGAATGGAGCTAATGTTCTGGTGCCGTTCAGGCAATTTAAAGTATTGATTGGGGACTTATTTGTGGAGGAATGTATCTGTTTTTCTGGGTGATTTGTGACGTGAGGAAGTTACAGACGCACAAATATCATAACCCCCCGAAAATGCTAACCTCCCCTGTTATTGTAATTGTGAGATGTTAGCATGTCTTGGGGGATATGATATTTGTGCGTCTGTAACTTTCTCACTCATCATTATTCACCATCCATTCAGGATGATCCGTAATCATGGTAGCATCCACATGAATGTGGAAGTGTTTAGAAACATATTCTATTCTTTACAATACAAGTGACTCCAAAATGACACACTACATTATTTACCATTCATTTCTATTGGGCACAAAATAATCTGAAACACAACCAAAACAAAGGGCAAATGCATCCAACAAATTTGAAGAGTCACAAGCTTGATGTAGTCATTGCATGCTATGAACATGGGAACAAATACTAAACATTTGACTACTTGAATACACATATAAGTGAATTTGTCCCAATACTTTTGCTCCCCTAAAAAAGGGGGATCTATGTACAGAAGTGCTGTAATTCCTAAACGGTTCACCCGATATGGATGGAAATACCCTCAACTTAAAGCTGACAGTCTGCACTTTGACCTCATAGTCATTGTTTGATTTCAAACTTTTGGAGTATAGAGCCAAAAGAAGAAAAAATGCTTCACTGTCCCAATATTTACGGAGGGCATAATATGTATATTTCTGTTGTATATACAGGGCACAAGTTTACCGTTTTATCTTGCAGCTGGTGCAGTTTTTCGTCAGCGGGGGGCCAGGGAGTCCTTCAGTGATAACGTAAATAATCACGGTCCAGTGGAGGCCTGGAGGAATACACCCCAACCGCAGCCTTATCAGTTCAACCCGTAACTAAACATAGGCTTCATACCCTAGCCCCCCAGCCGATCTTCTCTAGACTCCAACCCATAGTAGGTTATCTGAACCCAAGGCCCAGCCAAATGTGAGAATAACAACCTAGGCTAATGCAGCCTAGTTGTCTACTATTATCATCGTATGTAGCGAATTCAGGGGG